AGGCCACTGTGTCCTGGAATCCTAGCCCAAGGAATCCAGCTAGGTAATGAAACCATCAAGCTCTTGGCTATTTCTCATCCAGATAGACAAAGCTTTGAAAAATGGTGTAGGTGCTCCAGGGTAAAAGTCAGGAGTGTCATCCAGGAATGACTTAACAGAGGGAAAAGGTACATTTTTTACCTGGAAGAAACAGTACAGACCCAACTTTCTGGGATCAAAACACACTCAAAGAGGGTGCTACCAAGATCATCCTGTGAATAAAAGAATGAGTAGATGATAAAACACCTCAGATATGTTAACCACTGGCCACTTAATTAATCACTGGCCACACCTCTCTCTTTTTTTTAAATACTTTGTAATCTTTAAGAAACTGAAAAGGTATTATTCTTCTGCTCTATTCTTTAAATAACAGGATTTCATATCTATTTCCTAAAATCTTTCCAAACTGGGCCTTTGGGGAATATACTCTGAAAATTCTACCAAATGAACTTGGCTCTGGATTCTGTGAACTCAGAATTGTCTCACACTTGGGTCATCCAGAGTTGTCTTATATTTTCGATTGCTTTCATGAACAGTTGAGTGAGATGGAAAACTCCAAGAGGGCTCAGACTCAAACAGCCTGCAGTCTCTCCCCTTAGGGGCGCCTCCCCAACTGTTACTCTCATTCATGCCTCATTGCATATAAATTGGCATTTGGACTCCTTGCTTTTTTTCCATCATAAAGATAGGGCTTGCCCTTTCTGTTGCAAAATGTGGGTTTCACATTTGAACAGCGGGGCGGAGAGCCATTTGGTGGCCAGCGGGTGTCCTGTCTGGACAGACTGGTTCCAGTCACTGCCGCCTTTCATGTCACCAGTTAGGTGCTCCGTGGCTTAATGTCTGAGGTTCCACGGGACAGCATAAAACTCCAAACGCAAGGGCGGCTTTGCCAATTCCATCAGGCGCATCTTGGGCAAGTAGGGGCCTGCGCCGGAGCCCTCGTGGGGAGTTCTCTCCCCCTTTTCTTCTGTGAGTGCTGTGTGTTCTGTTGGCAACTATCAGAAGGCTTCACTACCTTCAGTGGCTGAGTATTGGGTGAAGTTTACTTGGCACCCACTGCATGTGGGCGTTAGACCAGAGCCCAGAACACGGTGGCTGCAGGACCCTGGGGTTTTAGAGCTTTGCCTTGCAAATTATTAAACCTGAGGACAGCCTGAAAGACAGTTATCAAACCCAACCCTGGCGCCGAAACCATCATTCCTTCTTTTCCAGGATTGGTTGGAACACAGGGCTTTTCCTCACAGCCAATTTACACCCCTTATCTGATCATCCAGATGGAAGGCTTGATTGACCACTTCAGCCTGCGTCCATGACAGTGGTGTTAAAGACACAGATCAAAGCTTTCCTAGAGGTGCGGGTGGGGTTCGGAGGGAAGTTATAGGTTCCAGGCTCAAGGCCCCAAAGGGGAGTTTCAGAGGTTGGAGATTGAGGCTCCGCTACTCCACCCCCTTTGCCTTTTAGGGGAAGGGAGCCACAAACACCACCCATCACCAGTTTCAAGGATTCCCTGAACAAATACTCTCCCCCACCTTTACAAACCACCACTAACTAGCAAAAGAGCTTTGCGTGGCCAGGCGCCGTGGCTAGCGCCAGGGGGCTCTCCACTCGTATGAAATCGAAAGGGAGGTGGGGAAGAGCCCAGCAGTGCGCACACGTCAATAAACCGGCAGCGGCGATCCCCTCCCTTTCCAGAAGAAATGCAGCCAGAGCCGCTGCCGCAGGATGGGTCAGACCCTCTTAGCTTAGAAAGCCGATTCCCGCCCCTCAGATGATTGCCAGAGGGGCGCCTGCCTCCCCACCCCCAGACCCCGGCGGTCAGCTCTGCGCTCCCCTCACCCAGCGGGGTCCTGGTGGGAACCACTTTGGCGCAGTCCGCCTGAGGCGAAGGGTGGGGGCACCGTTTAATCACAACTCGCCTCGCCTCTATTAACTTGTGTTGATATTAAAAAGAAATCAATCAGTGAGAAGGAAGCCTTGGCCGTGATTATTTCTTTTTCTCACAGGGAGAAGCAAAGCGCAAGGCAGCGGGGGGAGGGGAGGGAAACGGCGGGTGACTGCAGAGGCTTCTCGGGGAGAGGCCCGCAGCCGACTGGACTTTCCGGCAGTGGGCAGCCCTCAAGGAAATGCTGCAGGCTTCTCTCCGGGGAGTCCTGAGTCGGGAGGAGGAGGGGACGGGAGCTGGGAGCTGCTAACTTCGCCAAGGCACAAGCCTGGGTTTTGCTTTCCCTGGGAATATTTCTGCCTAATAGAATGTTTATGGATCGCCCGGCACTGTTTCTGCTCCGTAGCCCCAACAAATCGATGTGGCCTTAGAGATGGAGCTGGGGGCTCCTGCATGGGGGAGGTTGACGGAGGGGGCACCACGTCCCCACCACGTGGACACCAAGCCGCGTGCTCCTCACCTGTTTAGTTCACTGGCAGACCCTGGCGCCCAGCGCTTTAAGAGGAGGTGCCAACTGCACCCATTCCCCGCTGCTTAAACGGGTTCCTACCATGCTTTCTCTTGTTCCTAGTTCTTTCCTTGGAAATCCCACCCCAGTTTTCTGTCACCCACCTCGGCCAGTGGCTGAGTCCCTGGCCTGGCTAGCCCCAAAGGTCCCGCCAAGCTGGCTTTCAGGGCGCAGCGGAGGGTGTTTGGCTCAGAGCGCAGAGCAGCGTGGTGAGAGGGCGCACAGGGTTGGCCGGGCAGCTCCTGATGCCCGGACCTGGGAGTGCTGCGACCTGGCGAGGTGACGAGCGAGGAAATGGGTACCCAGGGTGCGGAGCCCACGCTGCTCCCCTGCCGTCTGCCACCCGCCAGGACCACGCTTAGGCGGCAGTTGGGCTATTTGCTCAATTGATCTCCAGGGCGCACTTTTCACCCTTCCTTTCCTGACTCTCCCCGGAATTACTTCCCGCCGGGGGTGGCAAAGGCTGCCTGGCCGACGCAGACCCGTGAGTCAGGTCTGGGTGGCCTCGCCCTTTGCCACACTTGCCAACTCCTTGGGTGCCAGATGGCTGTCTACTCCAGCGGAAAGGCGGGTGGCCCGCTGCTGGAATAGTGAGAGGGGATATATTCACCCTGGCGGGTCCCAGGACCCCCACCAGCTGCCTCAGCTCCTGTGGTGAACAACTTGACCCAGCCTCTCCTATACTCTGGAAGTGACGCAGCGCAGTCTGGGGCTCAGCTGGGAGGGGGTTCTGCAGAGAGCGTGGAAGGCAGGTGGCAGAGCCGGAGTGGGTCCGAGCGGGTGTCTTGCACACACGTTCACACACCACTCAGCGCTCAGGGACAGATGTGCAAACATCTGGGCTGGCAATAGCCCCCGAGTCTTCACGACCCCTCCTGCTTCATCACAGCACGGGAAACCTGAAGTTGTGTGTGTGCTCCCGGGTGTGTGTATGCCGGTGTGCGCGCTCTCGCGCCCAGGCCTACCAGAGTCCGTTCCTGAATACATAATGTACCCTCAGCACCCTCAATGCGCAGCATTCACACACACACACACACACACACACACACACACACACACACACACAGTGAATCACACAACCATACATAATTTATGCAGCATCCAGGTCAGTGGGAGGTAATTTAATTTCGCTTCAAGCTGGGAACTTGGAATTAAGGCAAGAGAGAATGGGAGGCCGGGCAATCTCCCCAAGTGGGACGTGCACCCATCCCTCTGCTGTGGTCAACAGTTACTCTGTTTGGACAGCCATGGAGCCGTAAGCCGGGGAGTTGGGTGGCTAGCACAGTCCGGAATTTTCTGTCCCCTACAATACACCCCCAAAGCTTAAAGTGGAGGTGAGTGTGTTGGGGGTACCAGGAGAGCAGCTTCCCTTTTAGTTAACCCAGCATCCACTAGTCTGTGCCCAGTGCTGCATGGGGTGAGCCCTTAAGTGTGGCCATCAGCTTGCAAGTGTCCTGGGGAAGTGCACTCCATTTGGGCAGCGTTTCGGTTTTTCTTCCCCTTTCCCCCCTTCCTTCCTCCACAGCTGGCTTCTCCTATCCCCAATCACCTGTAGCCACTACCAAGAGTTTTGTCAAATTCCAAGACACTGTTCTCAGAGGGGAGAGAAACTCATCAGGAACGAGGTCCCAAGAAGGAAGAACAAGACACATCAGATTCCCAAAGCCAGAGATCTCTTCTCCGCGAGCCCTGTCCCCAGCCATTCCCCACTAATACTGTTGTGGGCCTCACTGCATATCTCTGCAGTCTGTCCACACACCCTTCTTGGCAGTGGTTGAGAACAAATTCCACTCAAAAGTTCTAACCACTTCACAGGAATGAGAAGCCTTAGAGGGCCAAGCAGTTTGCTTTATCCAATAATAATTTTTTAAAAGAACACATGATTGACTTTCCCGGAAAACACATGGATGTGGGGAGAGTAAGGACCACTAACCGCTGGGGTTGCCAGAATCACCCAGCTCCAAGCCCTTGTCTCAGCTGCAAACCAACCCTCTCCATGAGCGGGGAGCCCTGTGATTCTTTTGAGTCAGATCCACCAGTTCTACAAAGAATCTACAGCATTGAAAACCCAAACTAGTCGCAGTGTAGCTAAGTACAGGGAATGCAAATGATTTATTCCTCTCTGGCTAGGTTGAAGAAACTCAAGGGAGATGTGTTCTGCTTCAAGACAGGAGGGGGGGAATCCCCCAAAACTGTAATGCAAAGGCTTTGTAGTATTTTTAAACCTTTGATTCAGTCCATATGTGACATCTGAACACCGCCAAATCCTGTTTCAAAACACACACCCGAGAGCTCACATACATGCACAGGCACACACATCCACTCTTGGCAGAAGGGGAAAGTTGGGTTGACTGTGCTGGTGGCGCGGGGAAGGCCGGAGGGGATCTCACGTTAAATGATGGAGTATTGAGAGCCTGCTTCTGTGCGGTGTTGCCTCGTTCCCTGCACTAGCAGTCGCTTTGAAAGGAAAAGCAAACGGAATGGGGAGGGGGAAAACTTTCAGGGCCTTACCTGGTTGGCCTCTCACTCCACGTCCAGAAAAGTAGAGCGCTAAGAAAACCCAGGTGAGAGGAGACATGTCCATGTCGGAGGAGGCTTTCTCCAGAGCTGGATTGGTAGGTTTCTTGTATAATTGGAAGTCGTGGGGTTTCCCCCTCTGTGTCTTATTTTCTTCCCGACAATGTCTTCTGCAAAAAATTCTAATGATCAGTGTCTCCCTCCTGGGTCCCGATGGCCCGTCTGCACCTTTATTCTTGCTGGAATAACCACCTCGCCAGGAGGGTAGGTCCTGAAATCAGCAAAGAGCAAGCCAGCCGGGAAGAGGGGCCAGGCTTCCTCTCTTTAAGCACAAAATGCATCTATGTTCTCTTCAGCTCCTGAAAGTGTCATTTCCTTTATCCTATAACATCACGCATATTTCCCAAAAGCCAAGCGAAAAAAAAATTATAATAACCAAAAGAAAAGCCAAGACTTGCCGTGGGCATCGCCCGGCCCCCAGGCAGCTGTGTGGTCTCAGAGGCGTAAACTGACACACATCCCCGTGTCCCCGGGACGGACACGCAGGCAGCGGCACCGATCGACCGACGGCCGGAGCGGGAGCCGGGTTGCCCGAGCTGAGCCTCCCCGGCGGCTACACCCGCTTGGACAGCCTCACGGGGAGGGAGCCTGAGGAGGGAAGCGGCTGCCGCGGCCGCTGCTGTTGCTGCTGGCGGTGCGGCGGCGGCTGGGATCGCCGGGAGTGAGCGAGCCCCTCTCCGAGTTCGCCGGCGCCCGCCCTCACCTCCACCTCGCCCAGCGCTCTGCCGAGTGTCTGTGCGGCTGAGGACGCGCCAGGGGCGGGCTGCGGGCTGCTGCCTCGCTCGCCTCTTCTGCCTCCCCTCGGGCTCCCCCCCTGCCTTTTCAGGCCGAGCAGCATGTGGATGTCAGAGCCGCGGCAGAGCTATCCGATTACGCGCCGGCTCAGGGCCCGCCCCTTCTGTGTTCCTGATTAAAGAGGCAGCCGCGGAGACGCGCGGCGCACAAGTGAGCGCCGCTGCTCCCGGCTCGGGCGGGGCGCCTTCCGCGGCCGCCTCCCGATCAAAGTTAAGGCAGCTCCCACCCAGACGCGCCCCTACCAGTCTGCGGCCCCACCGCCCCCCCTCTCTCAACGAGCTGCCGCGCCTCCAGTGCCCAGCGCCCCGAGGCTGGCGCGCCCCGGCACCCACCCCCAGGGCGCAGAGTCCCCAGCCAAGTCGCCCTCGCCCCAGGGAGACTCGGCGGGAAGCGGGGGAAATCTTAGCTTTCCCTCAAGTCCGTGACTCCGATGCCACCCACGCAGAGCCCAATACAATGCCACGCGCAATGGCGTTACAAGAGGCGCTGGGTGGTGTGCGGTGTTTGGGGTAAGAGCTAGGCGGCAGCTTAGCCATGCGTTCGCCCAGGCAGCAGTGCGTGGCGGCGACACACACCGCCAGCCCCGGCTGAATCAAACCCCAAACACTCCCAGCGTTTACTAGTCAGGTCCTTTGTTGTGTCCCAGACATGTGCCTCTAATCTCGCTGAAGAGGTTTCTCAATTCCCTTGCCCCTAACTTGGAGCTATCGGAAGAAGAGCAAAGACCTTTTTGGGGTGGGGGAGATCGGGTAATTAAATTTGATCCCCACTCCCATCCCCCCCAAGTGCAGGTACATGAAGGCATTTCCTTGAAGTGCTCCTGTCACCACTCCGCTTCACGTTCTCCCTGTGGAAACGTGGTCATAGCGCGAAAGAAAGAAAACAGCATTATGCCAACTATTTTTAAATGGAGGCGTGAAAACTGTTTAGAGGGAACTGCAAGCTAACAGTTGGGGAAACACTTGTATCTTTTTTTCTGAGGATGGTCTTGTGTATTTTAAACTGTCTTGCTCCACGAAGCACCTATTACTACATTATTATTAAAGATTCCAAGAGGAACAGTCTAAATAACACCGTGTGTATACCTTTTCTGCCTCTGCAGATTAAGAAAAATAAAGTTTCAGTGACAAGAAACACACACGTAGCTGACATACTCTTTGCTTGTGCTTGTGGATTCTTCTGGGTGGTTTTCCTCCTTATCTGGACTTGCCATTAGCTTTGTTTATCACTTTTAGTGTTGGAAAAATCTGTAACTCCCACTTAACTGTTATTTACACTGAGATAACCAAAACAAAATTGAATCAGAAGTGATTTGTGAATAGTTGAGCCAAGCCCTGGGATTTAAAAGTGGCATGCAAATCCACCGGCATCATATCACACTGTTAATCTTAGATGCCTGGTTGGAAAGAGCATGTAACAGGCCTGGGTGAGCTGTTCCAGGGTGGGCTGGTCTAAAAGCTACCTTTCATTTCTCTCTCTCCCCACTCTGTCCTTCCTTGTTCCTCTCACTTCTTCCTGTTTTCCTTTTGTAAAAGCCTTAAGAGCACAGCCTCATTATTGCAAGCTCCAGATTTACATTGTTTCCTGTAGTGGTGTGGCCCTGTTTCTGAGAATAGTCCAGTGGAGGTTTAGATGGTAGGCGTGAGGAAGAGGAGAGAAAAGGTGAACTTAAAGCTATTCAGGAACCTAACAGTTCTGGAACTTCTGCCTTTGTAGTCTCGGTGTTGAAATAGCCCACTAGGATATTTCCAGGGTCCTCACTCTGGTAAGAAGCAGAGTTAATCTTGGTTTCCTCTTCCTGGACCATTAGGGATTTAAATTTTTCAGAGATGCCCTAGAGGGGGAGCTAGTTTTCTTGCCAAGAATCCTTTGCGTGACTAAGGCAAGATTTCTCTTTAGTCTGCGGTGTGGGGAAGGTCTTGACCATAGGGTAGGAGTTGAGACTTCTGGGGTCTGCGCCAGCTCAGTATCAGGACTATTGTTAATCCTCTAGGGGGCAGCACTTAATAAATAATGGTAGCACCACCATAAGGTAAGACTTCTGGTGGAGCTCAAAGCCTGTGTCAGATCAGGGACAATCCCGAGTGAGACCAGGTTATCTCCCAGGTCACTCTGAACAGGACCTAACAGGCCCGCGCAGATCCCAGGATCGCTTTAAACCAGAACTTCTAGGGACTCTTGGGAACTAAACACAAATCCCACATGCGCCCTGTGGAAAAAGAACCTTTGTGGAAATTCTCCAGGCAGGAGATGTGCTGGCAGCACTGTTTCTGTCTAGACTAGAATCTCAGGGGTTTGGCCACGGCTGGTTCAGTTTCAACCAGAGGAACAGTGGTGAGGAGTTAGGTGCTCCATAACTTTCTGGTTTTTTGGTTTATTCATATCCATGACCCTCAAGGAAACCTGACCACTGAACGGACAGTAGCGTGCGAGCAAACAGTGGGTTGACTGAAAAGAAACCCAGACGGCCTGGTTTAAAAGAGCTAACACGTGAGGGTGAGGTTCCTGGAAGCATTATTACTCACCTAGGATGTTCTGCGTCACTACCTTTCATTGTGAAATAAGAATAACAGATAATCCCATCCTACATTCCATTCCTTTGATAGAAAGGGATGTGGGGAACACAAAAACCAGATTTGTGAGGGATCCCGAGAGAAAGCGGTTACCTAGGCACACCCCAGTGGTTATTTTTCCCAGGGCAAAATTGAGTGTTCCCAGAGTTCCTAACCTGAAGGCACATCAGAATGACCTGTTGTTGTTACGTGCCATCGAGTAGCCTGCAACGCATGGCAACCCTATGTACAACACTATGTAGAACTCTGCTCTAACTTGAGCCGACCTTATTGTCTCTGACACACCTACCCCATTATGCCAGTCACTGAATCAATCCATCTTATTGAGAGTCTTCCTCTCTTGCACTGTCCTTTCACCCTCCCAAGCATGTCAGAGCCTGGTTTCACCATCTCCAGGACAAATCTGTTTGTTCTCCTAGCAGTCCATGCATGGTATGTTCAATACTCTTCTCCAACACCACAGCTCAAAGGCATCAATTCTTCTTCTGTCCTCCCTAGTCATTGTCCAGCTTTCTGATGCATAACATAGAATTGCAAAGACCATGGCCTAGATCAGGCACACCTTAGTCTCCAAACTGACATTGTTACTCTTCAGTAATCTGGAGAGGTCCCTGATAGCAATGCAATTGGTCTTTTGATTTCCTGGCTGCTGGTACCAAGAGGGTTGATTGTGGAGCCAAACAAACCAAAGCTGTTAACAATCTCAATCTAGGGAGAACGAAACTGAATGTTTTGCTCTCTGGGCTCCATGTTCCTGCAGACTGGACTCCTTAGATCTGAGGTGGGTCTGGCCATGTGTGTTTTGTTCACACATTTTAGAACACTCTCTCTGATGAAAAGGCCAGCAGGAGAGACCTTCTGCTCCTGAGTGTTATCTTTATACACAGCCTTTGACATATATATATATATATATACACACACATCTGTGGAAGGACATTTGGAAGAGTCTTCCTTCATCATTTTTCTCCAGGGACTTTTCAGATAGGAGCAGATGTTTCAAGAACAGGTCTCTTAAAGTGCCAGAGTGGTAATATTCCCAGATTTACCTGTGGCAAGAGCACGGAGAAACTCACCTGTGGGGGAGTTAGGGAGGTAGGATGCAGGAACCTGTTCTATGTACTTGTGATGGAATTGATAGAACTGGAGTCAACCCTTTCACAGTGAACTCACTCCGCCAATGGCTGTTACTAGCAGTTTGCTTCAGGTAAGGCTTTCCATCTGTGCCGCTCATGTTGTCCTTATTAAATGCTCGCAGAGGCATGACGATGCAGGAGGTGTGCAAACACGTTAGACATTTGGGCCTCCCTCCTGGGAACGCTGGCTTTGAGAACTCCAGGAGTTTCCAGGCTCTCACAAAGGCTCAGTAGATGCCACTTGTCACATGGTGTGTCTTATCTGAGCCCCTAACATTGACAAGCTTTCACCCTGAAAGGGGGATATATGAGGCATAATTGCATTTTAATCAGTAAGTTACTACTCTGCCCTTGTTAATGTTTAGCTGCATCTGTCTCAGAGGCAAAGCTTCAGTTAAAATGTAATAGGTCCTAATTTTTTCTTTTCTTTTTTGTTTGTAGCTGAAGTCCAGGTTTCTGGCCAATAGAATCTGCCCTCCCCCATGTTCACCTCACCCCCTTCCACTAACCCTTTCAACAATCAACCTTCTTCTTTTGTCTATCTTTTTGAATACTACCCAACCCTATGGCTGCTGTTTTGAATCTATCTCTTAGTAACTCTCTGAAGCAGAGTAGAATCCCCACAGGATTTTCAAGACAGTAATATTTACCAAAGTGATTGCCACATTTTTCTCATACAGTATGAGTGGTAGGTTTGAATCATTCACCCTTTGGTTAGAAATAGATTGGGGCAGGAGAAAGCTTGAGGTCAAGGCAAGTGACATACCCCGGACTTCTGCTGCCCTTGAGGAAATTTAGACCCTTGAGAGATCTTGGGATCAATCTGGGACCCTCAGCTGCACAACGGAAGCGGTTGCCTTCAGTGATTTTTTTACCCCTTTCCAGTTTGAATTCTGGTGAGGGCGCTTTTCTGACTCCTCCTTCCCTTATAAATTTCAGATAAGATTTAGTCTTAATTCCATCAGCCACTCTGAGTAATTGAATTCAACAACCATTAGTCCTCCAGAAGATGTTCATGCATAGGTGGGGCTTCTTCATTGGCTATTCCATCCACACAGAGGTTGCTCTGGGTATCTTTTCTCAGACAGTGGTAATAATGAGTATTCTGTGGCATCTAGTCAAGATTGTTGAAAATAATTTTGGACAACATTTTCCCTGTCCCCCAAGAAACAAACACCATTTGGCAATCACGAACAAAGGCCAAACATGTGTATCATCTTTACAGCTAAAGAGAAATCTTTTCCTTATAAACAGATTATTTATTTCAAAGCAAAAAGGAAAACCTGATT